AAAAAAAAAAAAAAACTGGCTCAGCCTTTCTGGGGGCTAATTAGGCAGAAGGTTTCAAAATGTCCCTGCCCTTGACTGTGTAATCCACTGTATAGGAAATCATCAAGATTTTGCCTAATGACTTGGCTAAGTGATGTTCACTGCAGCTTCCCAGTAAACAGGATAAATTAACAATCATACATGAGGCAAAATACTGTACAGCTATCAAAAATATATAAATGTAGATGTGTTTTTTAGGCATAAAGGATATTCATTATATCCTATTGAATAAGAAAATTAAATTCACAACAGTAAATGCATATTAATATATACAAGAAAATGTATACCTGTGCATAGAAGAAATACCAGAAAGGATGAACCAAAATGATAATTGTTTCTGGGTAGTGTGATTAATAGTAATTTTAATTTATAATGGATAATTTTATTTTACTGTCTTCCACAATGTACAGCTATTATTCATGGAAAAGAAAATTATGTAGTGTTGCAACTGGTCCATGGAGTAAGTATATTGGACTAGGATCTGATGAACTTGGATCAGCAAGATGCCATATTCACTGATGTGTGTTGGTGTATCAGTAGTGACACAAGGTGCAGCTGGTCCACTGTTGATTCAGACAAAAAAATGTGGGCACAGGGGACTCAAGAGTGGGGCCAGCTTGAGAAGAACTTTGCAGATTGGGCCATATTTTTACTTTCTTTACCTAGAATGTTCTGAGTTTGTAGATAATTATTTACCTTTCTCTTTTGACTTTAGACAAAATCTGTTTTTAATTGTTTTATCAAATAATAATAAACATTGAAAACAATATTTACAAAATAAGTTAAAAGTGCACAAAATACCCATACACAGAAATTCAGTGTCCCAGAAAAGGAGCATTATCATTAACCCTATAGAGATCCCCTGTAGGGTCCCCATTCCCATCTCCTCCCCCCGAGAGAAAATCATGGTCCCTAGTTTTTTACCATAGCTTTGCTTTTCTTTATAATTGTATTCGTAAACAATATTTTATTTAGTTTTGCATGTTTTTGGACTTCACATAAATGGAATTATACTTTATTATTTTTCTGCAAGCTGTGTTTTTCACTCAATATCTTGTTTCCCCGTTTCAGCCATGTAGCGCATGTAGCTATGATTCACTCATCTCACTGTTGTCAAGTCGTCTTGGTGTAAATGCCCCATGATATACTTATGTGTTCCCCTGTTTCTGGACTTCTGCGTGACTTACAGTTTTTTGCTACCATGAAAATTCTTATTTAATGACCTCAGATGCTCACATATGAGTGTCTCAGGTGTATACATAGATGAGGAATTGCTGGATTGTAGGGTGTGTTCATGTTCAACTTTACTAGATGATGTTAAGTTACTTTTCAAGTTGTCTGTGTCTATTTATGTTCTTGCCAGCAGCGCATGAGAGTTTCCATCCTCCACATAGTCATCAACATTCAGTAATGTCAGACTGTTAACTTTCTGCTAATCCATTTGGTATGAAATGATTTAATTTGTATTTTTCTGAACATTAATGAGATTGAGCATGTTTCTTGGGTTTATTAACCATTTGTGATTTCTCGCTATGACAAATCTGTTCGAGTCTTTTGGCCCATGTTTCTACTGGGTTATTTGCATTTCTTAAATTGGTTTGTAGGAATTCTGTTTATTCTGGCAACTAATCTTTTGCTGTTTATACATGTGGGAGATGTCTTCTTCCAATTAGTGGCTTGTCTTTTCATTTTCCATATAATGTGTTTGACAAAGAGACATTCTTAGTCTTACCTATCCTTTCTTTCATGATTTGCCCTTGTTTGTATCTTTTTAAAGAAATCCCTTCCCACCCAGAGGTTCATAAATATAAATTCCTATATCGTCATCTAAAATGTTTAATCTCTGTGAATGGTGTGAAGGTTTCCAATTTTATTTTTTCTATGTGGATAACTATTCATTCCAGGACAATTAATTAAAAGACCTTCATTTCTCCACAGATGTATAAATGCCAGCTCTGTCATGACTGACTCATATCGTAAATGAAGCTTCCATGTATGTGGAAGCCTGTTTCCTAGGTCCTCCAGAGAACATATGCATTTGAGTTGTCCAGATGCCGAGGGGCTCCACTAGGAAACATCTTTATTTTTTTAATCATAAGACATTTCTCTCACATAACAAGTTAGACGTTGTAATGTTCTGGGGTCAGTCTGTGGCACAATGAGGTCATCAAGAACCCAGGCTGTTCCCGTTTTCCCAATGCCAGAATCAGTTTGTTCGCGATGGTTCCTCACAGCTGCAGCTGCTCCGGGTTCCATATCCACATATTTCCACATCCGAAGTGGAAAAAAGTCTTAACTCTCTGATCTCGAGGTTGTTTGGACCACCTAGGTAGTGCACATTCAAGTTGCAAGCTCACAGGTGGTCACACTCAGGGTTGTGAATTCTTGGGGGAGGCTCTTTTTGTCTGTCCATTCAGGGCTGAGTATCAGACAGGCGATTTGCCTTGCAGACCCCTGTGGGGAGTGGAGGTCTTTATTTCCAGTGCGCCTTAGTCTCAGGGTGTAGCCCTGTGGGGACACAGGTTTATGTGGGGGTCTCACCTTAAACTCCTCTCCTTGGGTGGCCCTGGGCTTTGTCCTCTGTCCCCTGCACTCGTGGGGCAGTGAAAACTGAAGCTGGAATCCATCTGGGTGGCAAATGGAGAACTAACGAAAACTTGTTTGGTTTACATCTCTAACTTTCGACTGTCACGTAGTTTTTTGGCTTCTTAGCATTCTTTACTTTCTTGGCAGCTCATTACGCATTTAGAAAGGTTTTTTCCCTGAAATTTTTCCTTGTGTGTCAGTGGGAGGGTCAGTCAATGTATCTAGCCCTCCAGACTGTAGAAATAGAAGTTTGCTCAATTCATCTTTTAAATTGCATTATATTTTATCAATCTTGTCTAAAGGTTTGCTGGAGACTGAACCATTGCAGGGAAGAGACGAAGATGCAGTAGCCAGTGCCGACTTCTCTAGCATGCTCTCTGAGCAGGAAAAAGAAGAGTTAAAGGCAGAATTAATTCAGGTATGTTTGGTAATCTTCTTGTTGCTGTTTCTATTTCTGGATCTTGAAAGTTATTATTAGTTGGGTGTAATCCCATATTACAATTATGTTGTCTTTCATTTAATGAAATTTAATAAATGATATATTGAAAGATGACTCATTTTTCCAGGGTATTTTTGTAATGCTAATTGTAATGCTAGTGGTAAATGTAATGTCCATTACCTGTTGGTTACAGTAGTAAAACGAATGTTTATGCTGCTTCAAGCAACAGTGATAGTTGTACGTATGCACTGCTTATTCTTTTTAGTATCCCAATCCTGTGGGAACAATAAATCACTTACAAACCTGATGGAATTCCTTCAAGACCTTGGTGCAGGTGCAAGCTCCTTTTTAAGAGCAGTTCTTGTGTTAGGTTACCAACTTAGTCCGACAAGTACTTTGCAATGACTTATTTTTGTAATGAAAAGTCAGTCATAGAAGCAACGAAATTTGTTAAGTTGTGTACTCTTTTGCAGAAGAATAAAGCTCTGAGGGTAGCGGGGAAAGCTATGCTGAGTTTAGGCTTCCTTAGATCTTGCGTGGCTGCTGGGGGCATCTGGCGCTACAGGGAAGAAGCGTGCCTGGCTCACCATGAATACGACTCTGTTCAAGCCTTTCCTTGCAGCACTCGCTAACCTTCAAACACTTAGCTAAGGAGCCTTTACACTGTAGGAGGAAAGGGCTGGAGAAAGGAGCTTTTCAAGTAGGATAAGCAGTAGAGCAAAAGGGGAAGAGGCCTGCATTCCTCCCCATTCCGAATCCCTGGCTCAGAGGGCAGGAAGCTCCTGGTCCAGCTGGAAGCCAGGCTTCCCCCTGCTCTCTGGCCCCTTCTGCAGGCGGGGGACACACTTTGCGCTCCACCTGACTCTCACCCCACTTTGTCTGCTCCAGACTCTTCAAGCTCTAATGTTCTGATAGTATGTATTTATGACAGCTCATGCTAATATGGAAGACTTTTCCAGTGCTTTCACAAGGCACACCCTAAAATAACTTCATTATAAAATAAAAGAGCAGCTTGTTCCTCTGATGCAGCAGAAATGATTTCAGTGAGCACAGTGTCTCAAGTCAAATAGCCGGTTCTTTGGCTGCGTCTGTCTGTGGCCACTGATCCAGAACCGGCCGGTTTACCTCAGCTTGACCGCGTGTGCCAGAGTACACAGACCAAGTCAGCTGAACGGAGACTGTCTAGCTGCACGTTTTGTTAAGGCCAGGAATTCTGGTTCATGATCTGTTCCTGTCACTTGCAGTGTCCAGAAGTTGTATTCTGTAGATAACTGATTCTAAGCTAAATTTAACTCCTTCATTGTTGGAGTCCAAATTTAAGTTCAGGTACAACCTCTATAACAGACCAACTTTTATAAAATGCCTTGATTTTTCTGGGTTCTGGGATTAATGGGTTATACATACATACAAATATCAATGTGTATTTTTCTGTATATTCTATATTTTCTAAATGTTCAACAATGAGCATGTATTATTTTTATAATCAAGAAAAAGTAGGTATTCATTTTAAATGGATGCCTCCATGAACATAAAAAACTAGCAGTGTTTTCAGAAATCCCTGTCACATTTGGCCACATTAATAAGCTTCCAGCATGTCCTCTTCCTGAGACTTTCTGAACCTGTCTTCTGAAAATAACCCCAGCCCCCTTGTTACTGTGTTCAAGTTACTGGAATGCATGTTTTCATCCTTTAGAATGCATTAGCCTCCGTACATCCTATCTTCTATTTCTGATTCTTCAGAGATGAAGAAGTAATGCATTTTGCCAAAGTTTGCATCATGACTTCCAGAGACACACGGCACAGCGGTGTAACCAGGCCCAGTGAAAAGCAAAGGAAGTGGACCTGTGCTGTTTTTCCTCTTCATATTTCCATTTTTTCTCCCTCCACCTCAGGCCACCTCTGTGTCATGCTCATTCTTTTCTTAAATCTGCTTTCCCCGCCCTTCTACAGCTGTGTGTGCATGCATGCACGCGCACACGCACAGGCACACACACACCCAAATCAGGTTCTTTCAGATCACAGATGCATTCAGATCACCTCTGATGCTGGGGTTTAATTGTAACAAGGACACACAGAGAGCTGTCTCACAACCGGCCATAGGAAGAACTCAAACATCTTTTAGACAGTTCAGCTTCTCTGCCTCCTCTCCACAGACATTATTCTCGGGCCCCTGGTGCAAGCAACCCCTCTCTGTGTCTGAGGGAAGATCCTCCTGGGTCTGTTAGCCACTCGGGTAACAGGACACCTCACAGGCCAGCCTTAGATGACTGCCTCTGAGTCAGGCAATCACTTGAGGATCACTTGTGGCCATGATCCAAAGCAAGAGCTTTGTGTACAAACACTTCTTATCTCTGACTGCTTTGCTTAAAAGCCGTCTTGGGGTGTGCTAGGGACCCATCTCCTCTTCAATTCACTCCTCTTCCTGGTTTCCTCAGATTCTCCTACCGTCTTCTGGCTATGCTGGATCCCTCCTTGCTGCCTTATCTTGCACTGTTGGTTGTTAATATTCCTATGAGGATGCCCTTAGATTACAGGAGATCTCATTACTCCCTTCACCCACACAGCCAACATATTGTTGTCTGCTTACCAAGTGCTGGCAATAGGAAAATCTGTCCTTGTGGTGGGAGACATAAAATAAGCCAACACTGTCTAAAAGGCCACATCCTGGATGAAGTCTGCATTTTAAAAGAGGAATTGTTATCGCCCCAAATGGGGTTCGTCTGCCCACCACAAGACATGCCAATAGGCAAGAGGCAAGGTGGTAGGAGGAAAGGGACTTTTTATTACAGCTTGCTAGCAAGAGGAAAGATAGCCCACTAATGCCAAAAAAAAAACCATCTTACAGAACAAAGATTACAGGCCAGTTATATAGACGGCTGGTCTCCGGGTGGAGGGGGCATCTGGTCTCTAGGTGGGGACATCCATCTGGTCTCTGGGTGGTCTTTGGTTTTACTGGATATGCATCAGAAACCAGAGCAATGCCCTACACCCTGAGCTTTTGGTTGTCCTAGATGATGGCTATCAGCATAGAGTCTCTACCCTGGGGGTCATCACATTCCTAAGGAACTCAAGAGAACAAAGTTATTGATTTATTGCAGCTGGGAGGGGCCATAAAATTCACAGAGCATCTCTGGGCTAGTTAATCAGAGGTCATTCAAAGTTACAATATCTTTCTTTTCTACAATATGGCTTCCTTTATGTCAACCTTGGGTTGAGCCAGTATCAGAATCTGGTGTTAACACTGTTTAGTCTTTAGTTTATTACTGTGGTCATACAATATGTGTGTTCTTAAAAGCTCCTTTAGTGTGAGGCCAATATCACCTCTGATCTGGTTCAGTGGTTTGTGCATGGGAGGTGTGCAATTAAGATTTAAAATTAACTTGGATTACTTTATAGCTTCAACAAATATTTATATTTATAAATATCAGAAGTAGACTATGCTTTTTTCAAACCATAGTGGTATATAAGGAAATACTATTTTGTTTCAGATATTTATTCTCATTAGTCTTGTTACCAGCTGCTCCTAACAGCTTTTCTGAGGTCTTTACACATCTCTTTTGTGGGGGATTTTTTTCCTTTCTCTCTCTTTTTAAATTAATTTGCTCAATATTTCTGTGCTAACATCCCACTCCCACTTTCATTTCACTAAGCTGTGTTCTATGCTTACTATTCCATAATGTGTCTTTGCTTTTGAAATGGATGAAGTGTTGGCATTAATACTGTAAATTTGTGATTATATAACAGTCAAATACTGCCAACATCCCCTAGATAGAATGACTCAAGAAAAATAGGCATTACTGGGAGTAGGAAAAATACCAGACAGCATTATCAAATAGCAGCCTCTTTGCGGGCTCCCTCCATCTCCTGTGGCTCTTCCCTCTTCTTTGGGTGTGTGGTCCAAGAAGAACACGCAATGTCCTCAAGCTACCTGGCTCTTAGAATGACAAAGAAGTGCCTCAGGCTCTTGACCTTTCTCTCTCAGTTCCTTCCTTCAAGACTTTCATCTTCTTAGACTGAGCTAGTGAACAACTGAAGTGTCCATAATCAATAATATCTATTATAACGCCCCTCTGTATTAGCCAGGGTTCTCCAGAGAAACAGAACCAGTAGTATGTATACATGTCTATAGAAAGAGATTTATGATAAGGAATTGGCTCAGGTGATTATGGAGGCTGACAAGTCCCAAGATCTACAGTCATCAAGCTGGAGACCCAGGGGAGCCGACGGTGTTGCTCCAGTGTGAAGGCCAGCAGGCTTGAGACCCAGGAAGAACTGATGTTATAGTTTGAGTCCAAAGGCAGGAAAAAAACCCCCAGTGTCCCATTTCAATCACAATCAGGCAGGAAGAGTTCCCTCCTACGAGAGGGAGGGTCAACCTTTTTGGTCTATTTAGGCCTTCCACTGATTGAATGAGGCCCACCCGCTTAGAGAGGGCAATCTACTCTACTCAGTCTACTGATTCAAATGTTAATCTAATCCAGAAACATCCTCACAGACACACCTAGAATAATGTTTGACCAAATGTCTGGGCACCCCATGGCCCAGTCAAGTTGACACATAAGGTTAACCATCGCACCCTCCCAGATAGTATCTCTATTTTAATTTTAGTTCTTCTGGACTCTTAGCCAAAGGCAGGAGTAGCCAGGAGAAGAGGCAGGACATGAAGCAGTGGGTACAAGAGACCAAATGCTCTTACTCCTAAACATCGTCATGGTGATTAATGGTTTATGAAAGTATTTCTTTTTCTGGATTTAAGTTAGATACCTTATGTAATCTACCAGATAAAATAGAAAAGTAAATTTTCAATTTTTTAACATAAATTTCATATTGATGCTAATTCATTAGCTAATTCAGATTAATTTATTTTTCTTGCATGTTTTTATTGAGATAAATTGATACAACATGTAATTAATCATTTTAAAGTGAACAATTCAGTGGCATTTAGTACACTTACAATGTTGTATAACCACTACCTCTATCTAGTTCCAAAAATTTCACTCACCCCGAAAGGAAACCCCATACTCACTAAGCAGTAACTTCCTACACTCCCTTCTCCCCAGAAACCACTAATCTGCGTTATGTCTATGGATTTGCCTATTCTGGTTATTTTATATAAATCAGTCATACAATATGTGACCTTTTGTGTCTGGCTTCTTTCACTTAGCCTAATGTTTTCAAGATTCATCCATGTTGTAGCATATCTCGATATTTCATTCCTTTTAATGACTGAATAATAGTCCATTTTATGTATATACTACAATTTGTTTGTCCATTCATCCTTTGATGGATATTTGGGCTGTTGAATAGTGCTGCTATGAACGTGTGTGTCCATGTACTTGTTTGAGTACCTGTCCTCAATTCCCTGTTGTGTATACCTAGGGGTGGAATTGCTGGGTCATATAGTAATTCTATGTTTAACTTTTTAAGAAATTGCCAGTCTGTTTTTCAGTGGCTGAACCATTTTACATTCCCACCAGCTATGTACAAGGGCTCCAATTTCTCCACATCCTGGCCAACACTTGTTAATTTTTTAAAATTACTTAAAAAAATAATTTATTTTCCTTTTAATTCATATTTAAATAATCAAGCTTAAATATCTAACCTTGGGCATAAATATTTCTCCTACAAGGAGATCTTCTAGGGAGTCAAGAAACCAAAGAATCAGACTATCAGTTTCTAATGAAGAAAGATTAATTTAAAATTAAAGGGGAAAGGATATATTAAATACTTTACTTAAATGATTTACCTGAACTCCACCTCATTCCAAAAGGAATTTGATGTGGCTTCCAGAGGTACTTACCATATAGAGTTTCCATACTACCTACATCAGAATATCTGGAGATGCTTGTTAAATAAAGTAAGTAGTCTGGCCCCACCAAATTTAAAGACATCAGAATCTCAAGGCATTAAAGGAACATACATCCAGGATCTGCATTTTAAATATGTTCTTTGAGTGACTTTTATGTAAACTGAAGTTGAGAATCACTGGTGTAACTAGACCAAAAAAATCTCATTAGTCAAATGAGGGATTGAATCTCACCAGGATCGCCACTTAAAGCGTTTGTGATTAAAGGCTTTCCTGTCCTGACCAGACTCTTTGCTCTGTAGAAAGAGATGTGGTTGGCCATTTTCAATCTTGCAGGTTAGTATAATTTAAGATGATTTATTTTCCCAACTTCTGGGATATGCTTAATAGATTTTTTTGTTATATATTTAGATCTCTGATAAATATACTGAAAGCTTTGACAAGTGTGAGTCACATATTTTATTGAAATGATGAGAATTTCATTATAGAACCTAAGAATAGACCCAACTAAGAAACCAACTACATGTCTCCATCATTAGAAGTGTCTTCCTCACAAATGCCCTTTAACTTGTGCTTCGATTTTTAAATTATTAAATGTGGGACTTTATATTTCTTTCTTTAGGATGATGTTTGGTAAACTGGTCACTTCAATGTTTCTCTCTATCACTTTTTTGGGATCAAGGATTTCATTAGAAAACTATGACTCCTTTACTCACTCCCCCCACCAAATAACTAATGGATATTCTACTGCCGCCCTAATTTTGAATAAATTTCTGGGGTTCCATAGATATGAGATTGAGAATATCAAGATGTTTAAGCCTCTTTCTCCTTCTCTACATCTGTAATTTCTTCCTACAAGTTAAATTTTTTCCCAGTAATTTCGGTCACTTAAAACATTATTTATCCAAAAAAAAGCAGAAGAGGTCTTTCTAATGGAGAGTAAAAGTCTGACATGAAGCCCAAGCGTTTTCTGTGGTAAGTGAGCTAGAGATAGCATCTTGAGAAATACTCAGCAGCAGATGAAATGCAGGAGAACACATTGACAAAGATGAAAACATGGAATATGACGTGGTAGCGAAAGAATGGAAGGGTTTGATTTTTAAATAACAGTGTGTTCTCATATAATGGAGGGACTAAAAGCATTATCCCCTTTGGTGGTCTCTGAGCGTGATCCTTTTGCCCTAATCAGTGTATGTCTGCATCCTGAAGACAAGAGTCTTCAAGAGTCTTCTTGCTCATCAAGAAAAGACAGGATGCTATTGATTATAACATGTTTATGGAATGTGTAATTCATTTTAGAAAGATTTCCATGAGTATAAAAAAAATGTTCCATGAATGTAAAAAAATGGATAAAGTTAAATTACCATGACATTTTGCTGATATTAAAAACCGCAAAATATTGTTCTTTTCTACCGAGGCATTTAAGATGCTTCTGATTCAGTATTTCTACTCGTTTTTCTTAAGTGATTATCTGTGTATATGAAGGTTCACAACATTATTCCTGTCTGTTCACCATTGGGGCAAAATCTTGCTTGTGCTAGTAAAAGAGTAATTTTTGCAAAGGTAGATGTCTTTCTTGAGGTGCTTTTCTAGCAGCTCTGTCTCTGGTGACCCAAGGAACACATTTGTAAGATGAGTGACAGTGTTAGTGATGCAGCTTGTGGTCAGAAGTAGAGTGATACTTTGAATGTAAATGAGACACAGCTGCTCCATTTTTTTTCAGATAAGAAATCTTGTAAAGTGTCAGGCTTTTATTACCTCTGTGAATGTGGGATACTAAGGGAGCACTCATGATTCTCTTCTGGCTTCACCAAGAAAGTCACGAGGATTTATACTTTTCAGAAAGAAAGATATAAATTTAAGCAATATCACGAGGGAAATGCATTATAAAATTCAATAACCAATTAGAATCAAAGACTTTGTGGAGGTTCAAATTTATTTTCACAGGATATAGCAACACTCTCTAAAATCTGGGTGTTTTACAGAATTCCTTTGTTACAAATTACATTTGTAAGACCAATTTTATAATGCTGAAGAGATTTGCTTTTCTGCAGCATAGGGGACACAGGGAACATGTCCATACAAAGTCTCATACATGAATGTTTGTAGCAGCTTTATTTGCATTAGCCAAACCCAGATGTCCTTCATTAGGTGAATAGAGAACAAACAGTGGTATATCCATACAATGGAATACTACTCTGCAATGAAACAGGGAAGAACCACTGATATTCCAGCAACATGGATGTATCTTAAATAATCTCAAATCATTAGGTTGAGTCAACAAAGCCAGGCAAGAATGAGTATATACTGTATGATTCAATTTATATAAAGTTCTAGAAAATGCTAACTAAACTCCAATGAAGAGAAGATCAGTGGCTACCTGGGAGAAGGGGGAGAAGAGGAAGGGAGGAATTAGAAATTAGAAAACTTTTGGAGGTGATGGATATGTTCACTCTCTTGATTGTGGTGATGACCTCGCAGGAGTATACATATGTCAAAATTTATAAATTTTACACTTTAAATGTGTGCAGTTTATTGTATGTTAATTGTATGTCAATAAAATTGTTGAAAAGAAAAAACAAATCACTCTCTTATATATATCCTCTCCTCCGTTGTTCCTCCTTCTAGAGGCACTAGCTTGGCAAAACCACAATGTCTGCCCAGTCCGTCCTTGCACCAGGGCAGCTGTGTGTGGTTGGCAAACAATAGACGACACTGACTAGTGACACTTGAAAAGAAGTTGTTTATAAAATAAAGCATATGGCACAAAACCAATTTTTTGTTCAAAAGTTACACCTATGTACAATTTTAGAAAAACATTTGGAAGATTAGAAACCAAAAAATTAAGCAATGGCTATTTCCTAGTGGATTACAGGTGATTTTTATTTTCTTGTTTATATTTTATGGTACAAACGAATTTTTTACAAGGACCAGTGATTACCTTTATAACCAGTAAAACTAAAAAAACGATTTCTATTTTTAAATATAGACTATCGTCTCTGTCAGATGTATTTGCCATAGCCGAGCGTGGGTCCGTGTTAACAAGGGGGCGCAGAGAGCTTCTGCGGGTGTGTTTCAGCTACTCTGACGTTTTTCCTCGCCACTTTCCCTCTTACCTGTAGCTAGAAGACGAAATTACAACATTACGACAAGTTTTATCAGCAAAGGAAAGGCATCTGGTTGAGATAAAACAAAAACTCGGCATGAATCTGATGAATGAATTAAAACAGAACTTCAGCAAAAGCTGGCATGACATGCAGACTACTACTGCGTGAGTATAGTGACTGAATTTTAAGAAAATTACTTAGCTTGTTGTCTTGCCACTCTTCTGTTTTTTCTTTTTCTACAAGGCTGATTTGGTATTTGTGGCTAGGAAAAATATTTTCTCTAGAAGTAAAACAAACAAATATGAATAATCATTAAATATGTTGCGTGTGAAGCACACTCTATAAAGTAGCTTCGGGACATTGAACTTGACTCACCAAAACTCTCTGTTTACTCAGACTGCTTTCATGGAGTTGTATGGTTTAAATTTTTTTCTCTTTATTATATGTTTTTAAACATTTATTAAAAAAAATATTTTTCTTTATGTTTTCTCGTAAAATTCTAAATGGGCAGGTGCTTTATCCTCAGAGTACTTGTCATTCACTTCATATTTTGAGTTTCTATCAAAAATGGTTGACAATGTTAGTACAGACTTGTTGGCCATTCATTTAAAAAGAAAAGCTTGTACCTCATATTTGGGAATGTGCTTTTCATCCCCACTACTCTAGGGGATATTTAGAGCTGAGTTTAGGCCAACAGAAATGTTTTTGGCTTTGCCGTTATCTTCTTATCTGATATTAGGCAAAAGACAGAATAACTTTGGGTATTCTACAATTATACTTTTATTGGATTACTTTTTAAATTACATGAAATATTTGATATTGTGGTACTTTTCTAACAATTTAAAGTATTTTGATTGCCGGGTGGTCTTGTACCAAAGAGAAGGTGCCCACATAATGATGTGATTTGTCTTCTTTTTGTGTGTTGTGGGGGAGGGGGCTGATGGGGAAACCACAGAGGCTTCCTATCCCTAGCTCTAACTATAGCCCCAAATTCCACTGTCATGAAATTTCTGTCTTTGGGTTATACATTTTCTTCCCTAGAATTACAAATTACCAATTAATTGGAAGATAAAGATATTGCATTCCTAATATCTAAGTGAGAATCAATTTTTCTCTTTGCTGGAACATTTTTCCCGGGCATAGAGAGGCATGGTAGTAGTAAGAGGTGCCAGTGATGGACAGCAATTATTTCAGTCTTGCTGGAGGCCAACTTTGCCTGCTGGTTCCTGAGAACTAAGGTCTAAGACCTTTTGTTCCTGTGTGAAGGTGCCCTTTGTATGAGGAGTTCTATCTAAAAGGACCTGATGTCTCCCCACTGTGGTTCCCTTAGTTTTCACACAAAGGAGAATGTTTTCTCTATAACAGGCCTATCCACTTCTGTGCTTGTGTACCCCAAAGGCTCATCCAGACAGGGTCAGGGCAGAATGGAGCCAGGGTACCCATCAGTTTATTTCTGGAGGCTAACTGACCTTCCCCAACCCAAGATGACAATTATGGAAGAAGATAAAAAAACCACTCATTGATGTTTATAGATTTAAAATATATATTGCAACACCGTATGAACAATCTCCTAAAAAGTGTAGCTGGATTTTAGGCACTAAATTAAATGAGTGTATCTGTCAGTGGTTTTGGCCTCTGTCTTGGCACTTTGGTGGCCTATACTAGTTAACGGTCCTGATAGCGTGAGGCTGAACAATCTCCAATTTCCTGGGTCTGGTTGTCTCTGTATTTAATGCATGTCTGGTGGATTCGTGTCACACTGATCTGAACTTCCTTCTGGGGTCTAAGAGCCAGGCAGGATCTTTCTGCTCTGCCTCCCTAACCACACTGCAGGGATAGGCTAACCAAAAGGAGGACAGGGCAATTCTGCCTATTCTCTTGCTGAAGGGAGAGAGGAAGCAGGGACCACCTGGGCAGAAGGTGCAGCGGGTTTGCCCAAGGTCTGATGGGGACCTGGTGAGAGGTGGGGCAGCGAGAGGAGATTCATATTCATCCTAGGAGGTGAAATTAGAGCAGGCAAGCTCTAGGAAGGCTTGTAGCCTCTTCACACCGGGAGACTTCTGTGAAGTTTGTGTTTTTCCCATGTTTGAAAAACAAATTGGTTTTATAGTCAGGCAGTCTGTTTAGTGTCAAGCTCTTTGTTGGATAAATAGAAGAGATTTATTCCCTGGGGTTATGGAGTTTACAGTCTCGTCAGGAAAACAGAGTTTTGTTTTTGTTTTTGTTTATTTTACAAGTTATTACAAATAACCAGTTAAATGATAATTGTGAAAAGTGATGTGAAGGAAAATATAGGGTCTTGTGGGACATAAAGCAGGAGACTGAACCTTGCCTGGGCTCTCAAGGAAGACCCCAAACAAGAGATGTTTAAGCCAAACTCTGAAGGATGAGTTGGATGAGTCAGAATTTAATCAGGCCTCGAGGGGCAGGAGGAGCCTCCTGGGGAAGGTACAGCCTGGTTAGGGCCCACGGGAGAGAAGGCTCCCTCTCCCAAGGGAAAGTGGTCCAGTTAATGAGCATTGTTGAGCTAGCAGGAGAAGTGGCCTTGCGGCATCTGTTAATAGAGTTATTCTTTATCCACAGGCATAGAAAGCCATTAAAGGGGTAGTGACAGTTCATTTATCCAACAGTATTAATGAATGTCTACTATTAGGCATCATTACCCAGGGGCTAACGTAAGCACTCAAGATATAGGATCCAACAAGATGGACCAAGTGCCTACGCTCAGAGTGTTGAAAGGGAAAGGGGCAAGAAACAACAAAATAAACAAGTGAGGGACTATCAGGAAGCCCTATGGTGAAAACAGCCTAGGGTGGTGTACCGGAGAGTGACGCGGAGGAGAGATTAGAAGCTGCTTTGATTGGGTCCCAGTCGGGAAATCCTGTCCTGGGAGGTTACTTTGAACTGAATGATAAGAAAGATCCAGTCTTGTGAGGATCTGGGGAAGAGCTTTCAAGCTGAGGCAAAAGTTGCTGCAAAGACCATGAGGCAAGAACTAGCTTTGTTGGGGCCAGCCCGGTGGTGTAGTGGTTAAGTTCACACGCTCTGCTTCCGTGGCCCGGGGTTCACAGGTTCAGATCCCGGGCACAGACCTATGCACCACTTATCAAGCCATGCTGTGGCAGTGTCCTACAGAAAACAGAGAAGGATGGGCACGGATGTTAGCTCAGGGCTAGTCTTCCTCTCCAAAGGCTAGTCTTTCTCACCAAAAAAAAAGAACTAGTTTTGCAGGTTTCAGGAGCCCAAAGAATGTGCTGTGTCTGGAGTGTAGTGAGAGGAGGTGAGATCAGAGCCTCTAGGGCCTCCCAGGCCCTGGGGAGGAGTGGGGATTTTATTCCAAGGGCTGTGGATGCCACTGGGGTGTTTGAAGCAGGAAGATCACTCTGGTTACTTTGTGTCATATAGGCAGGATATTGCAGTAGTCCAGGTGGGTGATGATGGTCGGGGAGAGTTGTGGACAGAGAGGGGATAGGATTTGGAAGTTGGGCCAACAGGACTTCCCAATGGTTTGGAGGTGGGGCCTGAGGGAAATAGAGGGATCAAATGTGACTTAGGTCTTTGACTTGGGCTACTGGGTGAGTATCAGGACTGTTTACGGCAATGGGCGTATATAGCATTGTGGTTATGCCCATGGGCTATGGACTCCAATTGCTTAAGTTAAAATCTAGGCCCCACTGCATCCATGAAATGAGATCGTCTTAGTACCTATCTCATAGGTAGTGAGGATTCAATGAGTTAATATTTGTAAAGCATAAGAACAGTGTCTGACACTTTATAGGCCTGTTTACTGCTCTAGGGTCTGGTGGGGAGACCCAGAATTCTGTTTTGGCCCTGTGCAGCCGAAATGCCAATAGACAAGCAAGTGTATATATCGAGAGGGCAACTGGGAGGACAAGTCAGAGATAGAGATGGACATTTAGGCGTCAGCTATGTATTGATATCATTGAAATCCACAGGACTAGATGAGATTTCCTCAGAGATTAGTTAATAAATAATATGATTGTGGATTCACTAACCTTCAGGAATCATGTGAACATTCCCTTGTCGGGAAGAATCAACCCCTTTCTTAAGAGGGAGCATAAGTCTACAAGCAACATAATTTCGGGAGAGCATCTTTCTCCCACTCTTTTTTCTTGGCTGCTGAGGGAAGGGAAAACCTCTTAATCACATGTTGCTGGGGGGAGGGTGATAACAGAATCTCTTTTCCCCCTGAATTAATTAAATCCCGGCTGTTAATGTCCATGCTGCTCCTTCCAGAACAAGATCTATACTTCATATGATGAAGATTTTCGTGTGAGGAATGATGAGCTGGGGTGGGGTTAGATTGGGCAGAATTAGATTTCAAAGCACTAAGAAGAATGTTAGCTGTCAGAGGATTGCATGTGATTCCTAGAGGCGATACTTTGCATACTGATTAAGCAATCATGACCTATTTAGTTTGATTTATGATGAAAAGAAAATCTATGGCATGTTAATGAAAGATCTGGGCATATTTTAGAATCTGAATAGGAGCGGATGAGGAGGAATCATTACACAGCAGACTGAAATTATCTCCTTTACAGAAAGACATTCATACAGTAGCAGGTCAAGAGATCATCTGTGTCTGGGGCTTCTTGTTGCTGTTTTTGTCATAGTTTTTTAAGTGCCTTGATTTGAGAGAATCTAAGAACACACACAAAATTACCCTCACCTCCTTTTTTTTTGGTTCTCTGCTGCTTTTTATGTTGTCTTTAGGCTTCAAGGAGGCGGGGAAGGTGGGTGGCTTTGACGTGAAGAAGAGGAGAGGCCACAGGAGAAACTGAATCTCTCCTGTGGGTAGAAGGAGTAAGAATTTGGAAATTCGAGCCAACCCTGATGGCCTAGGGGTTAAAGTTGGGTGCTCTCACTGCTTCTGCAGCCCGGATTTGTTTCCTCTGTCTGTCAGTTGCCATGCTGTAGTGGCGGGTCACACAGAAGAACTAGAACTAGAAGGACTTGCAACTAGCATACACAACCATACACTGGCGCTTTGGGGAGGAGAAAAAAAATCCATTCCTTTAAAAAAAAAAAAAAAGAATTTGTAAATGCAACATGGCGGTGGTCTGTTCAAACTGATAGGCTTCATGTTAATAAGTGTTCAGCCATTGCTAACCCATGAAATTCTCCTACTAATAAACCCCTCTGA